TTTGGCGTCAGCTCTGCTTCGTCGAAGGCGTCGACACAGCCGGAGGCCACCTCTCGGTCTTGAAACCATGCAGTACTCCCGGTCACTCCAGGGCTCCAGGGCTCAACACAAACCGACTGACTCGACTTTGCAGTATTGCAAGGAAAAAAGCCCATGAGGATCCCGGACCCTTGGCCACGGAGCCCGACTTCAACTGGCTGTTTGCCGAGTGGGGTGGATCCCTCAGTATCCCTCAGTGCTATTGACGAGTGGTAAGACAAAGTGAGCCGTCTTAGAGTCTTTCGGTGAAGTCCAGGATTCCGCTGACACTTGCTGGAGCGTTCGACAGCAGAGACCCCCCACTGTTGTGACCCGCCAATCAAGGCCAGCATCCTACTTCTAGCTCTGAAACAGCTCAGTGCCACAGGTGAAACTTTGAAAGCCTTGTAGGCTTCGGCCCTGACACGTGCAAAGCTTGAAAACCTGAGATTCAAGAGCAACGTTGGCAAACCTCGTTGAAGAGCGGGAATCGGACTTGGGGGGCGCTGCTCTTGCTGTTTAAACTCTGCAAACCTCCATAGATGCCTGCCCTGCTCCGAAGATGTAGACGCGATCTTTCATACGATCTTCCGGCATCTTGAAGGTTCTTGGTCCGGGCTTGCGCACTGTTCATGTCCTTGGAGGTGTTTCGTCTCTTTCTGACAATATCAGGGGCCTGTCGCGGCAGGGAGCGGTAAAAGGCAGCCTGCTGCGCAATGAGGCCTCAGAGGGGAGCGAGTGTTCTGCTAGGAATCATCCGACGTCGCTTGAGGATGAATGGTCTCGGATAGGAAAAGTCGCAGACATAGTGCAGATTGGTCATAAAACGATGATGTGTTCTTGTCGGGTGCGGTTTCTCTTCATAGCGGCACTTCCAGCACTCCAAACTTTCATTCCCTAGACTCCCTAGACTTCCTCATGTCCAGTGGCGCCATGTCAGATGCCCTACAGACTTGGGCTCCAGTAGAGCATGGCGCCACAAGGTCATTGAATTCAAGCACGACGCCGGCACAGCAATGCTTCGGATCGTAATGATATGGACCTCACAGCTTTCTTGCGCCCCGGCCATGGACGTCGAAACCAGGCAATGGGGAGGGCGAGGCATCCAACAACTGCTGCACCTAAAGGGCTGGAAAATAAACGATGCTTCCTGCATACAAGTGCCTTTATGCAGGATCGGATTTGTTTGCCTGTGCTTACGGGTAGACGCATGGTCTTGGAATTGATAGTCAACTACGGCATCACCCTTCCCAATCCGTGGGTAGCTCAGAACCTTCCACTACAGGTCCAAGTGGGCCAAGTGGGGTTTGAGGCATGCGATAACGTCAGCTTGCTTCCTTTGCATGCAGGCTTCCTTCAACCGGTGGTTTCTCGCCTTCCAGTGCCTACACGGCTAGACGTTCTTTGTGACAGGATCAAGCAAGGAGACCCTTGCGATTGTTGCCACGGAGTTCAGGGAGAAAGCACCAGAGGTTTCCAAACACTTGGCCCTGAAGCTACAGACTGTCCCGACCCTACTGACCGTGCCTCTGCCTGCAAAGATGGTGCGTCGACCAATGCCACTCGTGCAGCCTCGACGAAGCTGAAGTCGGCCACCAAGTCTCGGACCTTTGCATCGGCTCTTTCTGGGCTCTTTGTGCTGTTGGACCGTCACATCTGGGCCGGGAATCAGAGGAGAGCCTTGCGCTGGAAGTGTGGGGACATGTTGCAAAAGCAGGCTTCTGGTCCCAGCCTGAAGAACAACAACTATCCTCAATGAACTCTGAGTCGAAACTGAAATATTATTTGTTGATGCATCATCCATGTAAATTCCCGTCAAACTCGAGCGTAACGTGCACTCTCAGTTGATCCTGATCTCCACCTACACTGTAGAGCCGCGGCCGAAGTCAAGTCTTCCAAGCATGCATGAGATGCTGCACGAGCCACCCTCTCCGGCAAATCTAGAAGCTCTGCGAGTCTTTCGCAAAGGAGAAATTCCTGATGGCGGCTCACAGAGGGGGTGCAGCAGTGCTCCGACCGCAGTGCCTCTCGGATGGATTCGGGCAGATTACGATTCAAAACAGGTTGGTACATTGACATGACACAGCTCCCCATCTGGGAAAACATGATCTATTTGGACAACAGTGACCATGGCACATGCTTGGGAGCATTTCCACCTGCTACAATCAAGCCGCTTTCTCACCAACTGCAGTGTACTACAGCCAACCATCCAGCAGTTGAGTCCGGCAGTGTTCCTGCTTCTCTAAATTCGAAGCTGCCTGAGGAGTCCAAAAGCAAAATCAGCACTAGCTTTCAAGGCAAACTGTAGAGTAGTTAGTAGCAAAGGAACTGCACAAACTCCCATCGTCCACCACCCGTTTCTCGTGATCACAGCATGCGATTTTGATATTTTTGCAGTGGCCACACTGGGTGCACGGATCATGTTGCAAAAACTCACAACCAAGCTGGCAGCCAAGCGGTTCTGCGAGATTGCAACAGGCCGTAACCCGCCATGTGTGCCGAGGTACTGTATCTTCGGCGGCCGGAGAACCTGAAGACAAGAGCGCGCAGCGAGAGGCGGAGCGTATTGATGAAATCAATCATCCTGACTTCGTAGCAGAACAGGAGGCTGTCAGGTGGCTCTAAAGGTCTCCTGAGGCGGGTATATATGTCTTGGCGTTGGCAATTTGCGAAAACGCGCGACCAAACACATTCCGATGCCAGAGCGCTAGGAGAAACTGTGTTGAAATCTCCAAGTACCCGTCGTGGATTAGAACGACTTGGGTTTATGACCACGGGTAATCAAATTTTCGGAATGATGACTCTGCAAAAGTTAAATTGGCCCTGCGTGGTCTTGTGTTTCGCCGGGTCTCAATCACCTACCTTTTGCCTCCCGGTGCTGGGGTCAAAGGCCTTATAAGGCTGTTGGGAGCTGCGTCGTCGCAGGTTGCGGCAGAAATCGTTCGGCTTTCTTGGTTGTTTAGCAGTTGGGTTGAGAAGATGCCTCTGCCGCCGCAAAAAAGCGCGAAATGCCCTTGGCTCCAGAGCCCAACCAAACCCCAAAGACAAGACTCCTCCACCCGAAACCCCGAACCAGCAAGCGCAGCCTTCCCTATCCTCTACAGGTGGACTCGCTGCCAGCTCCCGCCTCAGCTTTGCTACTCGTGAGCACAGGAACAGGCTGCCAACAAGCAGAAGACTAGCGGACATCACAGATTTAAGGGAAAACAGGAGGGACCCCTAGAAGGGACCCTTAATGCTAATACCCTATATAACCTCATAGCCCCTATATAACCCCAAGGGTCCCTTTAAGGGTCCCTCCTTAAGTCCCTTGACAGATTGCTATCACTGCTATCACATCACCCGCGTTCGCGTTGGCCTCGTCACTAATCACTCTTCTGTCTGCCGGCTGCGGTGGATCTTGTTGTGGTGGTCGCAGCAACTACCATGGTGATCGCAGACTGTTCCGAGTCTACATTTGCAAGACGATGTTTCCAGTTTACTATTGCTTTTCACCCTTAACCTGCACATCGAATCCTTCACCTATACTTTCCCCAGCTTCTTGCAAGGATGCATCGTGGCAATCAGCTCATCTGCTTTCTCCGCCTTCTGAGCGACCATGGAGGCACCTAGCTTTCACTTAGCCGATGCAAAGGATATCGCACAAATCTCAATCGCAAGATGGACACTCGCGACTGGAGCTTTGAGCTTTTACATGTTTCAGTGCATTCATATCCACCTTCTCCTCGCGGGCTGAACGCGGACCGAGACACACTCTGACATTGCCCGGATGTGGTCCGAGGACTCCAGGACGCTTCCTTGGAAGGTGCCGACTCGCTGGGACCTGAACCTGGATTTCATCCCTCCAACCCGCGAGGCTTGGAAGTCCAAACAAAGACCTCTTGCGGTTTCTCCGAGTGGCGGTAGTGGTCCCCAACCAGCTCCCGCAGCTCTGACTTCTTGGCTTCCACCTGATGCCAAGGATGCGACTTCACCCTTCCTGACATTCCTGAGTTACTTTTGTGCCCAAAGGACATGCCGACATATGCCGACCCGATACCGGAGTGCACTGCATGTACCGCGGTCAAGCAATGCTCGGCTCAGTGGCTGCGCGCCAAGTCAACAGTTGTAGCCTGTGCTGAATCACCCAGACAAGTCTGCAGAGGCAGAGGCAACTTCGGGTTAGCCTTTACTCTGCGAACTTGGAGACCGAGCCTCTGTCTGCAAACCACAACCCTCAAACGGAAGCCTCTGATCGAGTCTTCTGTAGGATGCCATGGATTTCCACCAAACTTTTCCTCTGGCAGCTCACTTGTACACCCAAAATCTCTTTCTGAACCATGCATGTCAGAATGAAAGTTCCTGCTGTAACTGCAATGGCGTCCTTTCCCTGCTCCTTGCGAGGCCAGTGCGTCTGCAGTTTGAACGGGTTTGGCAGGAGTCATGTTGGGGCGAACATTTCTGGAGCGCTCTTGCTGAAGGAAAACAAAGCCGTTGTCGCTTCCGGTGTCGCATTTCCATCGGACTACACATCGCCACAGTTGACAAAATCATAAACCACTCTTGGCTCGGGGTTTAGGTTTGCAGTATCGGCTTCGAGGGCTCAACAGCTGCAAGGTTATCAGGCTAGCTGGGCACTGCACAGGCTCTTGAACTGAAAGACGCTCTCGAAAATGGGACACTGCCACACGAGGTCTCTGGGGTCGGATCAAGTTCCGGGAGAACTTGCGGCAAGTGTCTGGCGAAACAGGTCATCGATCGATGATGGGGTAGGTCTGCCCATTGCCAAACGTCACGGCATCAGAAGCCACATTTTCATGGCCACTGAATGACAGCATGATTGGAGCCAAAGCAGCTTTGAAGATACAGCAAGAGAAAGCACAATGAGGATAATTCGAAAAACAATTCAATACGCGGGCTGTCTTGCAAACATGTTGGCGTTTGTTTTAAGTAGCCATGCGAGAGGCAAAAAACAACGTCTTCGCAGACGATAGGGCCCTCGCGAGCATACCTGCACAACGGGCAACGGAATCAAGATCTGCTTACATCAGCATGCAGCATTTGACGAGAACTGTGCGAACTAAGCCCGGTGCAAATCAAAATATTCCCGGTCCCGAGTTCTGAGAAATGGGTTGCGCTGTCAATCTCAACCAGCTGGCTGTATGAAGCATGTTTGAAGTATACATGTTATCTCTGTCTAGTTACTGTAGCTTTTGAAAAGACAACTGCGCCATCGTCGTGGTACCATCCCAAGATGGGCGAAGCATGGTAGGTACGTTGGGGCTTTGTACCCCAAGAGCAACACGGAAGGCCGCCTGTGCTGGAAGGCGAGCGGGTCTCCAGGAGCACGGGCACATGCCAGAAGCCCTAGGTGAGCACTGTATGTTAGCTCGGCTGCAGCAGAGATAATTTGAAGGGCCTGTCCGTGAGTGCTGTGGGTGCCCCGTCACTCCCGCTTATGCTTCCTCTCCGCTTGCTTAACAAGAACGAAGAAAAAGTCGCCGACTAGTGCGGGCCTGCCCGTTGCGAGCCATTGAGTATCAAGTCGTCAAGGAGGAAGCGATTCGGTCCCCATGTTTCATGGTGGGGTCGGAATTGAGAAATGTGAATGGAATGTCACCCGCATCATGTGACCCAGCAGGCAGAAACGTCATCACAGAATCCATGTTGGCACAAAGCAAAGAACGGAGGGAACGGAGCCATGTTTCGAACTTAAGTTTTGAAAGTATTGGTCAGAGATGGTCTTTGTCGATGTCTGTCTCCCTTACTTTCTTCCTGCCCCACAGGGACTGGAAAACTAATCCTTGCTGCATCATCATCGTCGAGACCCGCGCGGCTGCGAAGCTCGTCGCTGTACCTGGGGCTACAAGTTTGGGCATTGCTACAGCCAAGTACTAGTACTAGCAAGGCTTCCTGCGCCGCTTGCTTTAGTCCCGCAAGTCTCGACGAATATGTCAGGAATGGCACCAGCAAGCAGTCGAAGAGACAGGGCGCATGTATGTTCATGCTCTGCCGTGCCGGAAATCTAACAGGCTACCAACATGGCACATGGGGCGCATGTCAGTCGGCATTGAACTCAAAATTGTCATCATATTCCCAATTATCTGTGGCTGGCCAGCTGTAGAAAATAATCCACTTCTCGCCCTGCATGACACGGTCAGCAGCATGCTTGAGAGGAGGCTGATTTTGCCAAATCAAGGCACTCCCTTTTGAGGGCTTGACTTTTATTCCCAAGGTTGGGAACAGGGTATGGCCACCATCGGCTACGTCGTTCAGATATGTCAACAACGTTGCGCGATTGTAGTCAATGTGCACAGGCAG